CCATTGATTTTGGGGGCAGGAAGGGCTGGAAGTGCTGTGAATCCCTGTCCACTGGCACCCCTGGGATGTGCCACCAGCTCTGTGACCCACAGCCCAGCTGGGAGCTGGGACATGTTCCAGCACTCATCCCACCTGTTCTCAAGTTGGAGAAAACACCTTGTCCAGCCTCTGTCAAAGCCAGACCTGGCTTGCAGGCTGAGGCTCTGCTCCAGCACAGTCATTCCCAACCCCTTTTTGTTCCTTAAGCCATGAAGAAAGGCATCTATGACAAGTTTGGGGAAGAAGGGCTCAAAGGTGGAATCCCCTTGGAGCTCAGGAGTGATAACCCCTGGAGTGCTGGCTATGTGTTCCACAACAACCCTGACAAGGTCTTCAAGGAGTTCTTTGGTGGAGACAACCCCTTTGCAGGTAGGTTGGGGGGTTCTTGAGGCCCCCAGACCCCTCTCGCATCCCCATGGATGGGACCTAGGCCTCATCCATGGCTGCTGTGAATCCATGGCTGCCTCTAGCTGAGAGCTTTAAGCTTTTCAGGGATATTTCCCTGCCCAGCTGCTCTCAGATCCCTGCTCAGAGCTTAGATTCTTATTTCCCCCAGTCTTGGATGAGGGAGAGGCCTGAAGGTGCCTTTTCAGGCTGTCAGCTGCTCCCGTGACCTTTCTCTGGGAGGATTTCCACCAAAAAGAGGGATTAGGGAAGCAAGGGCATCATAAAATGAGTGAAGCAAAAACATGCCTGGAAAATCCACTTCAGCCAGAGGGAAAATGATATTCTGGGTGGGGGAAGATGTGAGTGAAGACTCCAGGAGCTCCCCAGCTGGGACCTGATGAGGGCCCCCTGTGCTCTCTCACACAGAGTTCTTTGCTGAGGATGGCTCACAGCTGCTCCTGCCCTTCGGACGGCCATGCGGCGAAGGGGTGCTGTGCCAGGAACCCCCCATCCTCAAGGACCTCTACGTCTCCCTCGAAGACCTGTTCCATGGTTGCACCAAGAAAATTAGTGTCTCCCGAAGGGTAGGGGCTGTGGGGGTGGATTTGGGGCTGGGATCTGTCCTTGGAGTGGGAGGTGGAGGCTTTGGAGCTGGTTCTGCTCTAGGGGCTCTGTGCACCAAACCCAGCAGGAGTCAAACCAGTGTCCTTCTCTAGACAAAGGGATTTCAGCAGTAGAGGTGATGTGAGAGCTGGTGGGAAATTTTGGAGATGGCTAGAGAGGGACCATAGGCTCTCAGGATTTCAGTTTCATTCCATGCTGTCTCCTTTGTGCCCTCAGAAACTTGCATCCCCCCTCACTGTCCCAGTCTACTGGTGCCAGCCCAGGGGGTCTCCTGCTCTAGGACAAGAGGAAACAGCCTCAATTTGCCTCAGGGGTGGTTAAGGTTGGATATTAGGAAAAATTTCTTCCCCAAAAGTGTTGTCCAGCCCTGGCACAGAGTGCCCAGGGCAGTGGTGGAGTCACCAACCCTGGGGGGATTTAATAGTTGTGTGGATGTGGCACTTGGGGACATGGCTAGTGGTGGCTTTGACAGTGCTGGGGAAGGGTTGGCCCCCATGATCCATGGGCACCTCCATGTCTGCTCCCAGGTGATGAATGAAGATGGTCAAACAAGCACCATCAGGGATAAGATCCTAACGATTGACGTTCAACCAGGATGGAAACAAGGCACCAGAATCACCTTTGAAAAGGAAGGAGACCAGGTAATCACAGGATAGTCAGGATTGGAAGGAACCTCTGGAGACCATCCAGTCCAATCCCCCTGCCCAGGCAGGGTTACCTAGAGCAAGTGACACAGGAATTTTGGAATGCCTCCAGGTGGGTTTGGATTGTCTACAGAGAAGGACTCCATGCCCTCCCTGTGCAGCCTGTGCCAGTGCTCTGCCACCTCCACAGAAAGAAGTTCTTCCCTGGTGTGAAGTTCTGGGCCAGGTTTCCTCAAGACCCGAGTCTTGGATAAAGGACTCGTTTTTATTTCTTAAAGGAAGAAAATACCTTTCCCATCTCCATATCCAGCTGAAAGCAGCAACAAAAGAGCAGGAACTTGTGTCATCTTTCCCTGTATAAAATAATTTTGAGGTTTTCAAGGCCAGGATGGATGGTGCTTGGAACAACCTGGTGTAGTAGAAGATATCCCTGCCCATGGCAGGGGGTGGATCTGGATGAGCTTTAATGTCCCTTCCAACCCAAACCATTCTGTGACTCTTATTCCATGATCTTTTTTTCCCCTCAATTTTAGGGCCCAAATGTTATTCCAGCTGACATCACCTTTGTTGTCAAAGAGAAGCTTCACCCTAGGTTTAAAAGAGACAACGACCACCTCATTTACACTGCCATGATCCCCCTGGGAAAGGTAAAGAGCTGTGTGAGGGATCAGAGCTTTCCTTTGGCATCTGTGGCTGCACATGCAGCTCCTGGTGTTGCTTCATGCCTTGCAGGCCCTGACTGGCTGCACAGTGGATATCTGGACACTGGATGGGAGGCTCCTGAACATCCCCATCAATGACATTGTGGAGTAAGTGCCATGGGGAAAAGGGGCATTTCCATGGAGCTCAGTGGCCATGGAGGTGAGCACTTTCCAAGCATTGTGGAGCTCCAAAGCCTTTTCCAGCAGGTTTGGGGCTGGAGGCTTTCAGCCTGGAGGAAGAGGATGCCCACAGTAGGCAGCTTTTCTGTCTGGGGCCTTGTTGGTAGCTACCTTTGCAGGTAGCAGAGGCAGGGAGAGAGCTGGAAGTAGGTAGGTGGAAGTCATGAGAGAGGTGAGGACTGGATGGTGGAGCCTGCAGGGAAGGAGCCTGGAAGAGGAGGACAAACCACGGGCTGAAGCTGAAGGAGCAAAGTTAACCTAAAAAAACCCCTCAAGAGTGTGTGTGTGGCTTTCCAAGTGGGGCTGGGGGCTATGGCCCCCACGTTGGGATCATCCCATGGCTCCTCCCAGCCCCTTCCTTTGCTCCACAGCCACTCGTACTGTAAGGTGGTGCCAGGGGAAGGGATGCCACTGCTTCAGGACCCCCAACGCAAGGGCGACCTCTTCATCTACTTTGACGTCTGCTTTCCCAAGAAGCTCAGCCCTGAGGAGAAAATGGTCCTGAAAAGCGTCCTCCCATCCTAGGGTCAGTGACCTTCGCATCCTCATCCCATCAATAAAGCTCTGGAGCAATCATTGTGGCTGGGCAGGAGTTGTTCCAAGTCCTGGGGACCCCAAACCACAGGATCACCCTAAAACAGCAGCCCTGAGGCCTCACTCAGGTCCATGTTGCTGTCTGATCTCTGCTCTTCACCTGCCACCATCCATGTGGAGGGTGATGAGGATTTGGGGGGAGTTGGAGTACTCCCAGCTTGTGGTTTGGGGGTGACTGTGCACAGGGTGGTAAAGGAAAGAGCAAAACCATGGAACAAGAGACCACAGAATGTGTTCAAATCCTTGCTTCCTCCACAGCTGGAAGGTGGCAGGTGTGATCCCCTCCAGTACTGGGAATGTGTCCCCAGGGGTTGGTACCAGGGACAGGTGAGGAGGGGCTGTGGATCCCTGCTGTATGCCAGGGTGAGATCACTTGGGTTTGAGACCTGGCTCTGGCAGGTTGGACAGGGTCCCCCAGGAGGGACGGGGAGGACTGGACACTCCATCATGAGTGGAGGGGCCCTCCTGAGAGCTGGGGGTGCCTCCCAGGTGGAGGGAGGCACCCACGGATGGCATATGTGGCCAGGAACCCACCCACCACCCTCAGTGCTTGATTTTCCTAATCCCATCCCTGCTGAAACAGAGCTGTGATGGGAAAGGAGTTGCATACTGTCTGGTTTGCCTTCTCCAGCAGCACCCCAGGGCTGGTGACTCTAACACACCCCCCCCAAAAAGGCGAGGGAACCTCGAGCTCCGCTGTGATCAGACCCCATAGGGGTAGTTTATTGGAAGCGCCAGTAAGGAATAACAGGAATTGCCGCGTCCCCCGGCACTCAGCTTGGTCCCTCCTGCCCACACCGATCGCCTCGTTCCTGCCTCTTCGGGAAGTGCTGCTCTTCCCGGCTGGAAAACCTAGCAATACTTTTTTCTCCCTTCCTAAAACCTCCTATCTGGAAACCTCCGTCCTCTCGCGTTTCTCCTCGGATGGCATCGTCTCTCCTTCCGTCCCTCCGGTCCCTCATGGGGCACGTGGCATCGCTGCTTCCCGGCGCTCCGGCAATTAATGTAATTGACGCTGAGCCTCGCCGCGGCGAGAGGGGCTGGGGGAGTCAGGACAGGGCTGGCCGTGCCAGCACCACCGCCGCACGCTGCAGCTGCTCGTACGAGATGAACATCACCACGTTCCAGGAGCCCAAGCGCAGGAAGGATGGGACAAAGCTGTGCCGGGAAAAGCAGGGCTGGAGCGGGCACGGCAGGTACAGCCCATCCCCGAAGCTTGGCCCGGTGTGACACTGGCATATGGGTTGGGGTTTGCCAGGCAGTGCTGTGTGTCCACGTGCATCATTCATTCCCCTGCGATTGGCAGTGGTGAGGCCACACCTTGAGCACTGTGCTCAGTTTTTGGCCCCCTGCTTTAAAAAGGCCACTGAGGTGCTGAAGTGAGTTCAGAGAAGGGCAACAAGGCTCATAAAAGGTCTAGAACACATGAGGAAGGGCTGAGGGAGTTGGATTTGTTCAGTCTTGAGACAGCTCAGGGGCGACCTCATCACTCTCTACAGCTCCCTGACAGGGGTTGTAGAGAGGTGGGGGATGGTCTCTCCTGCCATGGCTGCAGGGAGAGGACTAGAGGGCATGGCCATGAGCTGAGACAGGGCAGAGTCAGATTAGATATTAGAAAAAATTTTGTCACTATTGGGGTGGTCAAGCACTGGAATAGGTTGCCCAGGGAGGTGATGGAGTCGCCACCCCTGGAAGTGTTTAAGAGGTGTTTAAGATCTGGCCTTGAAGATATGGTTCAGGGTTTAGGGGTTACAGCAGTGCCAGGTTAATGGTTGGACTAAATGATCTTAAAGGTCTCATCTCACCTTGATGATTTTATGATTGAACCAGACTCACCCCTTGTAGAGGCCAGCAAGGCCATCCTGCACGAAGAGGGCGAGGAGGCAGCTGAGCGCGTTGCGGTACTGCCCAGGGCTGGAGTTCATGTACCGCGTCTTTACCACATCCACCGGCGATGCCACCACTGTGGCACAGAACCCAGCGCCGAAGGCAGCCACGAAGTGGCAGGGGACATTGTCTAAACATGGGATAGAGCTAGTAGGTGAAGGCTGTGGGAATGGGGATGCTGCCTGGTCACATCCCCTCCTGGTGCTACCCTCACCTGTCATCAGCTGTGCCCGAAGCAGTGCATCCTTAATGAGGTCATAGGTGACGAGCTCACCGCAGTTGATGATTGCATTGCGAGCGATGTTGGGCAGTGTCCCTGTGCAAGAGAGTGGTGGCATTGGGAACGGTGGGCACATCTCCTCCTGGAGCACTCTGGATGAGTGCCACAGCCCTGGTGTTGCTATCCCCATCCCATCTCATCCCTGTCCCCTTCCTCATACCCATTTCCATTTCTATTCCCATCCCACCAATGTCCCCATCCTTGTCCCCTTCATCATCCCCTTTTCGATTTCCATCCCATCTCATCCCATCCCTCTCCCCTCCCTCATCCCCATTTCCATTTCTTTTCCCATCCCCTCCCTGTCCCCATGACTCTGTCCATCCTTACCTCTCCAGAGCCCTCGGACACCCTCCTCCCTGGCGATGGTGCGGTAGGCATCTACGGTGCCGCTGTACCTGCGGGCACTGTCTGGCTGTGCCCCACTGGCCTGGAACCGCACCTTGACC